TTCCATTGCCCTCTCAGGCTACCCCTTCACACACACATTGAATTGGAACCATAACCAAAGAAGGCCCCTCACACCTCAATCTTGAAAGACACCATACAAAGAAGTCCTCAGTCCCCAAGAACTTAAGATCATCTAGCCCAACGATTTTCAACCCTATTCATCTCATGGCACACACAAACTAATTAGTAAAATTCTGCGGCACACCAGAAAAATGTAACAGTGGAAAATTGCAAAGGTGGGAAACTGTAACTCACCCCATCATCCTTTTGATATTGTTTCTGTAAGTACTGACTTTGACTAGTATGTAGCTTGTAGATAGATGGCATGTTTGTATGAGAATCCTAGGAACTACAAAAGACACAGACTCTGACCTTCAGGCATCCAAGCTCCAGGAGATTTGCTGACTTTCAACAGTAAAATCAGGATGATATGGAGCCAGGGTGACGTGCAGTCAGGATGACTAAACCAGGACGAGGCACACAAGACCGTCAGTCCCCTTATCAGAAAGCACTGTGCTTGTCTGAACATAGACAACTTTTCAACCCCCTCCCTTGATCTCTTTGTTCTGTTCCCTCTTCCCTCTTAGGAAAACCTCTGCCTCCACTGAGGGGAAGATAGGCTTTGAGGCCTGAGTCCCCCATCTTCCAGATGGCCCATATCTGAAAATAACCACTTTTCTTTACAACAGCACCTGCCTCTCAAGTATTGGCCTCGGTAATGGCAGCAGCTGGACCTGCATTCAGTATCAAAATTATATGTATATTTTAATATACTTTATTGATTATGCTATTACAGTTGTCCCATTTTCTCCCCTTCACTCCCTTCTGCCCTGTACACCCCTTCCCACACACATTCCTCCCCTTTAGTTTATGTCCGTGGGTCATATCTATAAGTTCTTTGGCTTCTACATTTCCTATACTATTCTTACCGCCCCCCTTCTATTTTCTACCTACCATCTATGCTACTTATTCTCTGTACCTTTTCCCCTCTCTCCCCCTCACACTCCCCTGTTGATAACCTTCCATATGATCTCCATTTCTGTGATACTGTTCCTGTTCTAGTTGTTTTCTTAGTTTGCTTTTGTTTTTCTTTTAGGCGTGGTTGTTAATAATTGTGAGTTTGCTGTCATTTCACTGTTCATATTCTTTACCTTCTTTTTCTTAGATAAATCCCTTTAACATTTCATATAATGGGGCTTGATGATGATGAGCCCCTTGAACTTGACCTTATCTGAGAAGCACTTTATCTGCCCTTCCATTCTAAATGAAAGCTTTGCCGGAGAGAGCAATTTTGGGTGTAGGTCCTTGTCTTTCATGACTTGGAATACTTCTTTCCAGCCCCTTCTTACCTGTAAGGTCTCTTTTGAGAAATCAGCTGACAGTCTTATGGGAACTCCTTTGTAGATAACTGTCTCCTTTTTTCTTGCTGCTTCTAGGATTCGCTCCTTATTTTTAATCTTGGGTAATGTAATTATGATGTGCCTTGGTGTATTTCTCTTTGGGTCCAACTTCTTTGGGACCGTCTGAGCTTCCTGGACTTCCTGGAAGTCTATTTCCTTTGCCAGAATGGGGAAGTTCTCCTTTATTATTTGTTCAAATAACTTTTCCACTTGTTGCTCTCTCTCTTCTTCTTCTGGTACCCCTATAATTTGGATGTTGGAATATTTAAAGAAGTCCTGGAGGTTCCTAAGCCTCTCCTCATTTTTTTGAATTCTTGTTTCTTCATTCTTTTCTGGTTGGATGTTTCTTTCTTCCTTCTGGTCCAGACTGGTGATTTGAGTCCCAGTTTCCTTCCCATAACTATTGGTTCCCTGTACATTTTCCTTTATTTCACTTAGCATAGCCTTCATTTTTCATCTGATTTGCAACCAAATTCAACTAATTCTTTGAGCACCCTGATTACCAGTATTTTGAACTGTGCATCTGATAGGTCGGCAGGTTGGCTATCTCTTTGTCTCTTAGTTGTATTTTTTCTGAAGGTTTGAGTTGTTCTTTCATTTAGGCCTTTTTTTTTTTTTTGGTCTCAGGGTGCCTGTACATGGTAAGGGAAGAGCCTTGTGTGTTCATCAGGGTCCAGCAACCCACATGGCTGTGTTGTGACACTATATGTGGGGCAGGGTCCAAGAGGGAACTATGGCTCTTGCTCCGCTCTCTGACGGATTTCAGTCACTTCCCCCACTTCCCACCAGCAAATTGGGCCCTTCTGGTGCTGATTCCTGTGTAGGTGGGTTTGTGTATGTTCTTGGATTCTGTGGGTCTCTCCAGTGAACTCTCCTGTGAGGCTGGGAGTTCTTCCTGGCACCTCAACCCCAAAGGTGTTTTCAATCAGTGGTTTGAGGCTTTATTTCCCTGAGTTGGAGCCCTGGGTTGCATGGTTTGTTTCACTCCTCAGTTGTTCCTCCAGGTTTATCTGCATGCAAATGTGGTACTGCCAACTCCACCAGCCACCGCCTCCTTGGTTTCCCCAGTGGCGCCTTGCTAGGAGTCCTCTCCACCCCAGCTACTGGTCTCTGCCTCTCCTACTGGTCTGGATGAATGTGTCTTCTTTAACTCCTCGGTTGTCGGACTTCCATACAGTTCGATTTTCTGTCAGTTCTGGTTGCTTTTTGTTTTTAAATTGTCCTTTTGGTTGTGTGAGGAGGCACAGTGTGTCTACCTATGCCTCCATCTTGGCCAGAAGACAGTTATATTTTTTGCTGATCTGACAAAAAAATTAGTTATAATTTTGATTCAGTCACACCAGATATCTATTGTTGTGCTGAGTATTGTCTTTTTTTTTTTTTTTTTTTTTTACAATCTAGGAAAAGAGGTCAGTGCCCCTGACTGATTAGTCAGGTACTGCATGTTTTAAAAATTCTTGTGGCACACCCATTGAAAAATCACTGATTTATCCAAACCCTGCTATTAAGGGAGAATAAAACAAGGTTCATATTGAAGTGACCTGGCACCAGTCCGTTGGTGGTAGGCCCAGGACTAGTTAGAACCCAGGCATCCTAATGTCAAATCCTTCACATCTGGGCCTCATGGGCCTCATGGGTCCAAGACCAGAGGCTTCTTCCCACTCCACAATCTCCAAGAAGCTCCCATGTATGGTTAGTTCCAGTGAGCAGCCTCATCCACACACCCCATGCCTTTGTCAGGTGCCCAGGGAAGGACCTTAATGTCTGACTCAGTTGGGGCATTAAGGGGAGAGGGAAGCTGGGGTGAGGAGCAGAGGCTGTAGGAGCATCGCCATGCAGCTCCAATAAAGCAGTGGCCGCGCCAGAGAACATCTGCTGCTGCCTTGAAGGCACTTCCCTCCTGCAGTGAACTCCTAGCCAAGCTGATTCATTGCTGCCTCTTTCTCTATCCTGTTCTTCCCTGAGCCCTGGAGGACTTCAGTGTGGGGAGAAGCACAGGGATGGTGGAAACCTGCCTGCCACCAACAGATGTGGGCCCCGTTTGGCTTTTGTACTCCAAGCCTAGGTTAAAAACCCAATAATAGGTAAACAACCAATAATTCTATCTTCCTTCCAACTCCTAACCTCTGGGCCAACCAACTTCCCCACTGACCCCCTTTGCTCTCCCAGCAGGAGCAAACCAGGAGCCAGGAAAGAAGAGACACGTCTGTGCTACACAAGAGTAGGGCTGATATGGCCTGAGAACCAGGGGTTGGGAGACCAGAGGTGACTTCATATAGCATCTGTTGTAGCAAAGGTGGACGGCAGGTAGAAGCTGCTAGAGCCAAGTCCCCTTTCTCCTTTGGTGATGGTGGGACAGCCTGTCCCTTCCACACTCTAGTTTGCCTGCAAGAACCTTCTTCCCAGCTCTCCGCCCTCACACCCTACCCAGTGCTGGGAATGCCAGCTGGGTGGGGCCCCCAGTGTTGACAGAAAGTGAACCAGGTATCAGGCACCTGTGACAGAGTACACAGAGGCTGGCTGGGCCACCCAAGTTTGGGGAGTTCCTGGGGAATTTATATTCTTGGTTCCGGGGCTGATTAGTTATTCGATATTTATTAAGCACTTAATAGTGCTGGGAGGATGATTCTTGGGTTTTCTGCAGCACCTTTCAGGGGTGCAGAGGCAAGGGAGCCAGGGAACAGCTTGGGAATACCAGCTGGTGCCTTCTCGCCACCCCAAGGACTGACTTGGCCCACCCACACCACCTCCTCTCCTATTACCCTCTCTGCCCCTGCTTGGGAAGCTACGAAATATCACAGTAGCTTCTAGGGGAATTTGGAAATGGCAACTATTCCCTGAACTACTGTTTTCAACCAGCACATTAACCCTTCCAAATTACCCACATGGCAGGTGTCATGAATCCCATTTAACAGACCAGGAAATCGAGGCTCCAAGACATTGATCCAGCCCAACCACTGTTGTATAATAAGTGACACATGTATTTATCCTTGGCCCCTTTCCAGAGGCCCCTCTGCAGCTCCTAAGTCCGTTTCAGGTTCAGTGGCTGCCTCCCTCCACCCAAGCACAATCAGAGGAAAAGTGGCTACTTGTGAATTTAACACAGTGAGTCCACCTCCTTCAGGGGCATTTCTATTGGACACCTTCCATCTAGAAACTTTTCTCTTTCCACATGAGAAGCTTAGTGGTGGCAGGACTTTGGGCACCACTGAGCTGGAAGGGGAGTTTTGAGAGAAGGCAGCTGGCAAGTCTGGCCCTGGAGCTTAACAGGGCTCAAGAGAAGTGAGTTCAGTGGGCAACGTGGCTGCTGAGTGCATGTGTTGTGCGTAGACAGAAGTCTTAAGATCCTACCCCCCTCCAGAGATGACATGAGAATAGTGTGTGACCTTGATCAAATTTCCTGATTTCTCTATTTCCATAGCTGTAAAATCATGTATTTGGCTTGCTGTGAGGATTAGAGATCATTAATATAAATTTCCAACAGTCAATGAAATTACATTCAATGCATAAAATGTGTCACTTTCAAAAATCCTGGATCCCTTTTTCCCTTTGTGAAACAGTAAACCTAAGTCCATTCCTCCATAAACAGAGACACAAATCATGACAGCAAGCACTACAAGCAGAATTTATTACCCAAAGCAGTTTGAGGAATTCCAGGCACTGGTCACAGCCTCCCTGAGTCACAGGCACCTCTTCAGAGCCACCCTCTGCCCTGTGCTGCAGCGAGGGGGTTAAAGCCTGCAGCCCCACTTATCTCACAGCTACTACATCCTCATTCTTGACTAATAATCTTAAAGTCACAAATGGACATCATGTGATTGGACCTAACTCTTACACAGTAAAATTAAAATACAATCACCATTTTAGACATACTACTCAGACAGAAAGATACCAGAGTCTTAACTAGCTATGAGAAGGGGAAAGGTTTTCTGTTTAGGATTACCAGAATTACATGGCATTACATAATAATCATGTCTGAATTTGAGCCTAGAAGGGATGCTATTCCTGCAGTGTGCCAACCAGCCTCTCTCCCCCCGCCGGGCTAATCAAAGGCATGATATAATTTAAGGTCTCCCATGAAGACTCCCCATGCCTGTCCCTAGGTAAGCATCTTCTGCTTGCCTAGTGACAAAGAAGCCTGCAGTGGCTGCCCCCGAATGGTGGAAGGAAGGGTGGGGTAGGGGGCGTTAGGAGGGTGCAAATTAAATTACACAGAATTCTCAGGGGGTGAAAAAAAGCATTCTTCAAGCAGTGTTGAGTTCTCTGATTGTTTCTACATTTGGGGAATGCAAGCTGGTTTGACCTCATGAGGCATTCTGATTTTATTTGTTTGGCTGTTTTTGGTTTTATAACTACCCTAGACCAGGAAGATGTCTTATTCTCCTCTTGTCATCAAACCAACTAACACCCATGTCTAGAAACATTGTGTTCTCAAGTAAAACAGCTGACAGCCCCTCATTCCTGACCCTGAGCTACAGATTTTCATGAAAATCAGTTTCTGGGCCAGTTAAGTCTTTTTGGTAAAGTTGTCTCTTCATAACTCAGCCCCCACCCTGCAACTGGCCCAGCCACAGTCACGGCGGAACCAGGAACTCAACAGATAGATTTCATCCCTTACTCAGCTCAGGCACTCCAGGAAGAAGGCGAGTTCCCAGCACCTGCCTGCCAAGAAGCTCTGCTCTACTTGCTGAACTTTGCTCCACATGCACAGGTCAATCTGGCTACAAGTTCCCCCAAACTATCCCTACTTGTGTTTTTAAGGCACACCAACTCATCTGTGTAAGGCTCTCTGCTTATAATGAATTATTTTAATTAATCTTACTAGTTAAAAGAAATTTTTTCCTTAAAGTCCACCCTTGCCCTGCTATTTAGCCCTGAGATGCTGAGAGGGTGGGAATGAGGGCAGAGCCCAAGTAACATCAGGGATCCTGGTTGTTGGGGTCGCACTTGATCATGACTTTCAACCCCAATCCCTTTTTGGATGTTTCAAAGGCCTCCAGAGCTTTCTCCAGAGGAAACCTATGGGTCACTAAGGACTTTACATTCACAGACTTGGACGCAAGCATTGAAATCGCCACCGGCCATCTGTAAAAGATCACAAGGGTTACATTCAACCTTCAGGAAGGAAGAGCCAGGCCCCCCAAAGTATCAAGCACAGCATCAGCTTGGCTGTATTTATTTACAGCACTGGGGTTCTGCCAGGCCGACTCTACAGACCAACAATGGTAGAAATGATCTTATGACTTGTAACTTGAGAGTACAGAGCCTGTTTCCACAGGCCCCCGGGCTCCTGTGCCATGAAGCTTGAGGCCTATGGAGGCCACTGTGAAAAGGCAGACAAGCCTCTGGGAGGCAGGCCAGGATAATCCAATTTCACCCCTTAGCAGCTCATCTTGTGAGAGTTGACCAGAAAACTGGCTGAGGGGAGTGGGTGAAGCCTCAGAATGTGCTGGGGTGAGTTAAGACCTTCTCACTTTCCAGGGTGGGCCCAGGGCTCTGGACTGGGGAGCCAAGGGATTTGAGTTCTTGCTGTTGTCCTTTCTCTCCTTTTCCCCTTTGAAGGGGGAAAATGCCTATCTGGCCACTTAATTAAAGGAAAGAGAGGGCCTCAGGTAGGAGTGGGTAGGGTAGGCTCCAAGAAGGTTGGGCTTCAAAATCCTCCCTCCTTGCCTCTGTCTTCCTTGCATTCTCTTTGGACCCCCATCATATCTCATGGCTATCCATGTGGCTAGGGACAGCTCCTCACAAATAAACAGGCAGAGACTCTTGGTCCCAGAGGCTGGACCTGGTCTTGCTGGCCACTCACCACCCCACTCACCCACAACATACTCACGTGTTGCAGTATCGAAACACGCCCTTGATATCCACTTCTCGTATAGCTGCATGCAGTAGGGGCACATTGTTCATCTCGGAACCCAGTCCTACCAGCATCAGGGTCCCACCAGAACAAGTTGCCTAAAGAGGTAGAATTAAAAAAAATAGAGGATAAGAAAATGCAGACGTCCCACTCACAGCAACACAGCCATCACACAAGTATCATCTGATTGCATCAGAGGAGTATCCAAAGATTCCAGGGAGTGATACTTTCTATACCACTGAACTCTTCATCACAGCAACCAAACTCAACACAGCAGCAGAGTAGATGTTATCTTCTTTAAAGATCCTGAGATAATATACTTCACCATTGGAGGACCAGGCACAGGGGGAGCATCTTCCACTGTCTACATCCTACCAAATAGCCAAGGTTCTCCAGACCTCAGTGAGAACCTTCCCTACAAACAAGACTGACTTTCAGCAGCCCCCGAGCACCTTTTAAAGCTATACTAATTACTAGATGTTAGCTTCAGCTACCTCCTCGTCTCAGCACTTGTTCCTCCTCCAGAGTGCCCACCCCACAAGACAGGAGTTTTGCCCAACTTCTAAGGAACCACCCTCTTGGTGAGAAAACTACTAAGCACTATACAAATGGGGAGGGCTATCGGAATTCTGTGGTTTTAAAAAATGCCTTATACATGCAAGCTAGCATTTAGAAATATCTTTGTTCCAGAGATATTAATCCCAATAGTATTGTTCATAATAAATTTTCTCTTCCTTGAACATCTGCCTGCCTTACCAGTTCCCTCCTGGAGCTGGCCAGAGAGTGAAGCTTCTCCTGATTACCTTCACATAACTCTTGGGTGTTGTGCCTGCGCCAGAGATTTTGGTGGGTCACTGTGCTCAATGTTGTGAGAGACAGAAAAATGGACAATTCTTTCCAGCCCCTCTCTCTGAGGAGAAGGATACACCATGGAGAGAAACCTGCAGCACGGGGGGGACTCTGGCATCCGGGCTTTTGGGCTGTGGGACCCTGGAGGGTGGTCTCATTGTTTGGCCTGTTGTTGGGAACCGCTCTGCCTGGTTCCAGGAGTTGTAACTGCCCCCCCATGGCTAAGGCTGAGTGAGCGACCTCCGGACCGCAAGCCACTAAGGAGACAAAGCTTGTCTCTGGCAGCAGCACTGCTTCTGCTTCGTTCCCCACCCTCAAAACTTGGTCGGTTAGTCTATGATGGGTAAGACCCCTCGGAGGGGGGCAACCTAAGCCAGACACGATCACTTGGGAGGCCATCATGGAAGGACTTGGGGGCCTGCAACAAAGAGGGGGCGATGGACCCTTGCCCCCCAGCTATTGTGACATAGTCTGAGTCCCCATTTCCATCTGGGAGAAGCACTTTCTGGCTCTAGTCCACTTAAGCCTAAAACCTATGACAGGGAAGGCGGTGTAGCCTCTTGCCAGCTAGAGCAGGATCTGGGGTGATTGGGCATAAGAGTTTCTAAAAGTCCTATGAAGCCTGCTTTGCTAAGAGTGCTTTCATTCATAGGATAAGGGTCTGAGCAGGAAATGAGTATGTCTCCCAAAGTTTCTGCAAACCCCCCTTTCCTGACAGACTCTAACTTGGACTAAGCCCTCAGATTTCTTTGAAATGTTATCTACTGTTTGATCCTTACCGCTTGTATTCCTGTGTATTACAACCCAATAAAAGCCATTGAGGAAGGGGCTCTTGGCTTTTCTCCTCTGAGAGATTGGCCACCTCTCCTCCCCAAGCAGATCATGTTTGGTAGTTTCACTTTCACCTGTGGTGGACGGGGGACTTTGCGGGCAAAGTTGCCCCCACAGCCTGTGAACCTCCTGTGATACATGAACTCTATTGGTAAGGGGAAGGGTATCTCGCAACTGTCTCCACTGGAAATGTGTGTATGTGTGGGGGGAGAGATCAAAGTTGTGAGTGTGCCACAGAGAACTCAACTGAGGAAGTTTCTAGGAAAACTGTCTGCCCATCAGCATCTCCTCTCTACCTGGTGAGAAGGAGGAACACGGTCAGCCTGGCAGTTTGCTGACCACAGACAAAGGAATGCTTGGACTACCTGCCCACTGTTTGGTGGGTGTAACCCCTGCACCAAGGAGGTGACATCAGTTCTACCCTAAGCAGTTACCATTTCTCAGGAACACTGTCTAGTCACATTCTGGCAGGAAAATGACTCTCAAGTATGTCCATATAAGGAGTCTCTGCCTAACCTGCCAGCCGATGGGGTGGCCTGTAGCATTCTACAGCGCCTGTCATGCATGATGGCTCCATTGTATACTCAGGAGAGGCCCGGGGCTCAGGCCTGGTGAGGCCCTTGGGTCACATTTACCTCCACGCCCACCTCAGATAGCCTGGAAACTGGGCCCCCACCATTAAAGCTGGAGATGCCAGCTGTTTCCAGATGCTCTCCAGGCAGGAGAAAAGGAAGGAAAGCCTCGCCCTGAGAAGCTATGCCTTTTACCGCGCTCTGTGAATGGGGTCACTGGCGGGCCAACAACTTGAAGATAACAGACATACCTTACTCATTATCACAGCCTTCCAGGTTTCTGACACAAAGCCAGGCACACAGGTGCCCGAGACATGTCATGGACTGGCTGACTGTGCCCATTGCCCTCTGAGCTTTGGTTTCTCTTTCACTTGCAGCAAGGGGAGCCCCTGTTCCTTCCTCTTCCCACCATTTATGCCACGGGTGTCTTGGTAGGAGGACTGGGCAGTTCTGCCAGGGTGCCAGGCCTGAGGGCCATGCCATACAACTCAAGGGCTCAGCTTATCCCAGAACATCTTGCATGGGGCGAAGTTCATGACCTTGTACATGACCCAGCTGTGACTCAGAAGGAAGGAGGAAGCCCCAACTGCCATGGGGAAGCAGTCTGGAAGGCAGGGCAGGAGTGCTCAGTGGTGGCAGCTGTCACCAATGCTCTTCCCAGCCCCACCCCTCCCACCCTAGCACAGTTGCCCACTGGCACCCCATCCCTTCCTCCCTTTCTCTCCTGAGCAGTGGACAGAATAGGAGAAGTGCAGGCATTGGAGCAGTGTGCTCAGGGCAAGTCACTGGGACTCTCATTGTCAAATGTGGGACTGATCTCATGGCTGCTTTGCAGACTGGGGCATCACGTTTATAAAGCACCAGGCTCAGAACCTGGAGAACATCCTTCTCCCCTCTTTTTCTTATACTTTGATCTGTCAATGTCACTTCCCTTCTTTACCTCTCTGCCAACTTTTCACAGATTACTGGTGAGTCCATGAGGGATAAATCAGGTATTGACAGCTTCTCTGTTCCTAATTCTGGAAGACAACAACAGTAGCCAACTGACTAAAACATTGCTTCCCCTTTGTGACTAACTGAATTAGTGGCTGTCACTTTTTCCTCAATAAAACACAGTAGGGAATTCCCACACTTAACTGAAGCATGGTTCCTTGTTCCTCCTTTTGATCCTTTTATCAAAAGCACAACTTTTATAATCACAGGTACAATTGATCTTGACAGCAACTATATCCTAAAGGTGTGGATCACTTCTCTTTCAAGGACTATGTACATCTGTTACTGTGTTTAAATCTCACAATGACCTAATGAGAATGTTAGGCAAGTGTTGCTACCTCCATGAGAGAGATAAGAAAACAAAGATCCAAAGACATCACTGAATTTCACTGGGGCCTGGGCCACAGAGCAAATCACTGGCAAAGCTTGATCCCAGGACCCCTGACTTCTGCTCAGTTCACTACCCTGCGCTGCTTCCCAGGAGCTGCCCGCCAGTTCCAGCTGCCCTCATCGCACTCACGTAGATGCCCGTCTGGATGGCAGTCTCTGCCCCAGTGCACTCGATGGTGACTTCTGGCTTGCATCCCAGGAGGCCTTCCACTTTACTGGCGATTTCCTTAGGGCTCTCCTTGGAGATCTGGAGGACAAAGTCGGCCCCAGCTTCCTTGGCTTTAGACAACCGAGAGGCAGACAGATCTAAAGTCGAAGAAAGGTTTGAGAGACTGGATGAAGGGTTAGGGAGAAAATAAAAATGGAGGTGCAGGTTCTGATGGCAACGCAGCTCTGGTGTAGTGAGTAGTGCGACAGAGCCCAGCACACGTCCTCTCCACACCTCCCCGCACTCCCGTGCACACATCTGCACATGCTCTCAAGGATACCTTCTTTTCAACACATTCACACTTTCACACCCACCTTCCGTACACACACACTTTGATAGCTTCGCCTCACACAGAACACCCTTCTGCATTCCCACTCCCCGGTTCATCCACACACACCCACAGACCACACAACTCTACACATTCACCCCCCCTACACTCTCACGGATGACCTCGTTTCACACATATGCACACTCACGGATACCTCACACACACAGATGCTCTCACACAGATACCTTCTGTACATACTACACACACTCTTTGATACCCCACATGCTGCCACACAAACCACACCACTGCACACCCACACCCACACAGGCTGTTGGCTAACCTCACCTCACGTGTAAACACTCACGTCTCTCACCCATACTGCATCCCTCGTACACAAGTGTCCTCTTATAAATATACTTCACACTAATGTCACACACACACACACACACACACCCTCTGTCTCCTGAGCTTAGACAAATGAGCCAAGGGCTGACCCTCCCGTTAGGACCCAGTAGGCAGTGTGCGCGTCTCAGGTCCACGCGGAGAGAGCCAGGTCTCTTCTCTGCAGCAGCCACCCTCTCCCAGCAGCTTCACAAAAGTCTTCTCCTGAGCCCTGACTTGGTCACCCCCTGGGGAGGAACCTCTTTAGAACTAAAGTGCCCTGAACAAAACAGGTCTTATGCCTCTGCCTTAAACGATGAGCCCAGCTGTTCCCCACTTCGAGGAGATTGAAAAGAAAGAAAAAACCTTACCAGTCACCACCACTTGAGCCGCACCCATTGCCTTGGCCGAGAGCAAACTGACCAGTCCAATTGGCCCTGAATAAAGCAGGAAATGGGAGATGTTTGTGAAAAATGAAGCATCAGTTCTTCCCTCGGTCCAGGCTGTGAATGAGAAGCATATCTTTTGTGTACCTCTAGCATCTATCCCAGAGACTGACACATAGTGAGAACTTAACTACTGTTTGTTGAAAGCGTGATAAATTGTTTTCTATATAAAATTTGCTCATAGTGCTGAGTTGTTTGATTCTCTCCTAGGACAGAGCTGTACATTTCCCATTACTCTTGGGCATTGCTTGAAGATAATGTCAAAGAGCCAGAGGACTCAAGAAAACATTTTATCAGAGAAGTCATCCCAGAAGGTCTGGATACATTTTCCTGTTCTCTCTTTGACCCTCACTGCTTAGAACCCATCGCACCTTCCCAAGGAGAGACACTGCTTCCAGGTGTCCTCCAAGAACCACCCGACTGTCCTTCCGGGAGCTGGCTCCCCGGGTGGAGGCAGCTGCTCAGGCATCGCCAGGATGTTCGGATGACTAGGAACCAACCTGGAGACCACCTGCGCCCCTGCAGTATCTACCTGCTAGGTGACATGTGCTTTTAATACAAAAACCACTCCCACAAAGCAAGGCTGTGCCGAAAATCTTTGGGGTTTTTCTTTTTGAACACTCCCCTTGAAAATAATTGTGTGAATTCCCCTAGAAAGCAAAACAATGGAAAATACCCAAAATGACCAACAAAGAACCTAGTGAAGAAAACTACTGTGGGATACCACACAGTTATTAGAAATTATGTTATAACTCTTTTCTCTACTGTCATGAAAAAATGTTCACAACATATAATTTTTAAAAAAGAGTAGGTAAAAAAATGAAGTATATTCAAAATAATCTCATTAAAAAATAAAAAGAAATAAAGAAAAGAAAGGTTCTACACCAAAATGTTAATGGTTTGGTGTAGAACCTTTCTCTCAGGCTGATGGGCTATGAGTGAGTTTCTGTGTGTGCACACGTGGTGTGTATGACTTATCTTTTTTTCCGTGGCAAACAGGTAGTACTTATGTTGATTTTTAAAAATATGTCACTGAATTTGACAGTCTGCTGGCTCACTGAGGCAAGTCTGTTCAATATCCACTAACTCACTTAGGAAGACCTGTAGTCACTTATTTGGCTCTGCCAAAAGAAAAGCCAGTCACAAAAGTTTATGAGGATTGCCCTGGCTGTATATCTCATTTGGTTAGAGTCATTTCAGTACATCAAGGTTATGGGTTTGATCCCTGGTCAGAGCACATGGAAGAAGCAACCAACCATAAATAAGCAAAACAACAAATCAGTGTTTCTCTCTCTCTCCCTTCCTGTCTCTTTCTCCCAAATCAATTTTGAAAGAGACTATGAAGATTAAATCAAAATGGATTAAAGTCTTGAACATACGACCTGAAACTATAAAACTTCTAGAAGAAAACACAGGCAGTAGGCTCCTTGACATCAGTGTTGGCAAAGATTTTTTTTTTTGCACTTGACACCAAAAGCAAAGGCAATTAAAGCAAAGATAAACAGGTGGGATGACATCAAACTAAAAAGTTTCTACGCAGCAAAGGAAACCATCAACAAAATGAAAAGGCACCTACCAAATAGGAGAAAATATTTGCAAATCATGTATTTATTAAGAGGTTAATATCCAAAATATATAAAGAACTTGTACAACTCAATAGCAAAATAATAATAATAATAATAATAATAATAATAATAATATTCAATTTAAAAAATGGGCAGAGGATCTGAATAGACATTTTTTCTAAGAAGACAAAGAGATGGCCAACAGGTACATAGAAAAGGCATTTAACATCACTAATTACCAGGGAAATGCAAATCAAAACCACATGAGATATTGTCTCACACCTGTTAGAATGGCTATTATCAAAGACAGGTAATAGCAAGTGTTGAGAAGATGTAGAGAAAAAGGAACCTTCGAACACTGTTGGTGGGAATGTAAATTGGTGCAGGCACTATGGAAAACAGGATGAGCATGTCAGGCAGAATAGACAGCAAACCAAGGCAGGAAGGGAGAGGGGGAGAAGTGCCCAACACATTAATTCAGCAGCCCTGAGCCTGGTCAGATCAGATTGCCACATGATCACAAGAAAGACAATAGTAAGTGCAGGAGGAGGGGAGCCTTTAAACTTCTGTGTGTATTCTTCCCACTGTCTGGGTAAAAAAGGCGTTGAAACTGTATGTTAATCCCAAGGTCTGGAAAAGCCAGGAGGAGGGGGAGCCTGGAGACTGACTACTAGCATAAAACCCCAATAGGCAGGGCACTCAGACTAGTTGGGTGCCTGCTTGCAGCTTTGTGCTCAAGTGCATTTCGTAAACAAACCTACTATCCCATTTCCACTATACACGTTGTCTCTCACCTGAATTCATCTCTTGTGATTGAGACAAGAACTGAAGAGGGGAGCCCCCTAACTCCTCAGGTATCCCTAGTAACGAAGATTCCTCAAAAAATTTTAAACACATCTATCAAATGATCCAGCAATTCCACTTCTGAGTATTTATCTGAAGAAAATGGAGACACTGACTCAAAAAGATATATGTACCCCCATGTTCACTGCAGCATTATTTACAATAGCCAAGAAACTGAAACAACTTAAATATCCATTGATGGATGAATGTATAAAGAAGATGTGGTACATACATAGAATGAAATGTTATTCACCATAAAAGGAAGAACATCTTGCTTTTTTGTGACAACATGGATGGACTCTGAGAACATTATGCTAAGTAAAATAAGTCAGACAAAGACAAACACCATATCATTTCACTTATACTTGGAATCTAAAACAAACAAACAACAACAACAACAAAAGCCCTGAGCTCACAAAAACAGAGAACAGGTTGGTTGCCAGAGGAAGTGGGTAGGGAGTGAGTGAAATGGGTAAAGGGGGTAAAAATGTACAAACTTCCAGTTGTAAATAAGTCCTGTGGATGTAATGCACAGCATGGCGACGGTAGTAATAATATGGCATTGCATATTTGAAGGTGGTTAAGAGAGTAAATCTTAAAAGTTCTCATCCCAAGAAAAAGAAACTTTGTAACAATATGTAGTGATACATGTTAACTAGACTTATGGTGGCGGTCATTTTGCAATAGCTGACCTTGAACAAGGGGGGTTTGAACCACACGGGCCCACTGATATGTGGACTTTTTCCCCAATAAACACATACAGTACTACAAATGTATTTTTTCTTTCTCATGATTTCTTTAATAAAATTCTTTTCTCTCTAGCTTATCGTATTGTAAGAATACAGTATATAATATATAACATACAAAATATGTGTTAATCAATTGTTTGTTATTAATGAGTCTTCTAGTCAACAATAGGCTATTAGTACAGTTTTGGGGGGAATCAAAAGCAGATTTTTGACTGTGCAGGAGGTGGGTGTTCCTAACTCTGGCATTGTTCATGTGTCATCTGAATATACAAATATCAAATAACTATGTTGTATACCTGAAACTAATATTATATGTCAATAATACAAAACAAAACCAAAACACCCAAGTATATGAGCAACACCAGATCACACTCACAAGGACTGTAAACATGCCGTCTGAGTTGCCGACAGTTAGAAACCTAGAATGATTCAGTGTGAGGCTGCTAGGGCTCGTTGAGGTGGAGGAAAGCAGGTGGGTTCCCAGTGGGGCAGAGGGCTGGCTCAAGGTGGGCGAACTCCGCTCCTCCCGCTGGTGGTGAGCAGGGCCGACCTCACTCCTGGATGGGCCGGGAGGCCACTTCTCTGATATGGTTTGGAAGTTCCAAAAGCTGCTCTTCCCTTTACTATCAACAATATTTCCCTAGTTTCCCATCAAGGGTTGGAAAATAACCCCAAGTTGCATTCTTTAAATGAATAAAAAGATTATGTTGCCTAGGAAATAATATTATTTCTGCAGATATTAGTTTATCTAGCAAAGTGCTGGTCACTGAGGAAATGGGATACTGTAATCCTCTCCTACCTAGAAAGACCCTAGTGATAGGGGACTTAAGAGTTTAAAAATTTGTCCTGGCTGGTGTAGCTCAGTGGATTGAGCAAGGGCCTGTGAACCAAAAGATTGCGGTTGGATTCCCTGCCAGGGTACATGCCTGGGTTGCAGGCCAGTTCCCAGCACAGGATGCACCAGAAGCAACCATACATTGATATTTCTCTCCTTCTCACCTTCCCTTCCCTTCTTAAAGATAAATAAATTTTTTAAAAAAGAGTTTGAAAATTTTAGTTTAAGGTAAAAAATTATAAGCCAGGCAAGTAATGTATAGGTGAAAGCTTTTGTTTCAGAAACTACAGAGAGATAAGGCCCATCCTGGCTCCTGAAAAACAGCTGACCTCCTGGGGCACTGCTACAGATTACCATCTGGGGACAAGTGGGACATCCAGGGAGGGAGGGGCAAACAACCACCTGCCCCTGGGAACAGCTAAAGCCCAGGACAGGAATGTTGCAGTTTTTTCTACCTGACCCTCCCTGAACTTCAAAACCCCTCACCACACCTTGTTTATTCTCTGCTATAAAAACCCTGGCCTGGAAAGAAAAGGGAAGATGGTCTGTTAGGGTGTGAACCCACCATCTTCTCAGATCCCCGGCCATCTGAATAAAGCGCCCACGAAGATTCAATCGCTGTCCTTGTTTATTGGGTTTGCTAGTGACAGGCAGCCCGAACTCCAGTGTCTTTTTCCAGTTATATTAAGACCAATTTCAGCCTTCGAGATGGGCAGAGGGGCCCCCACATTCCCCTGTAATGAATTCATATGCCAGGATGTTGTCTGTTTCTTACCAGCTCCACACACGAGGACCTTGGTCCCCAGGGTGACTCCACCTCGCCGGCAGGCATGGATCCCCACAGACAACGGCTCAATCAGGGCCCCTTCCTCAAAGGTGACATTGTCGGGAAGCCTGGGGAGGAAGTCATTCAACACACTCAGTTATTCCTTCTGGGTTGACAATAATTGCAATAGCTAATATTTTTTGAGCATTTATTTATGTGCTGGGCAATATGCTGAGCACTTTACATAAATTCACTCACATCAGTCCTCAGAACAGTTCTGTGCTAGGTACAGTTATCCCTATTTTACAGACGAGGAGACCAAAGCTTGGAGGATTCAATAACTTGTTCTCAAGTTTCAAAACTAGGGAGGGGCTCAAAGGATCTGAATTTGAAATCAGATACCTACAGAAGTCACATCCCAACCATCTCATCTTTCTTCTCAAACTGATAGACTTTCTGGTTTCACTTTAGCTAAGGATCCTGACTATCAGTAACTTTGCAAAAACACTGATTTAGAAGCTGGCATCACTCTTTTCACGGCCTCCCCCATTACATGTTCCAGGAGAACCGCATCTGACGGCAGCAGCTGCCTGGCTGCCCCAGGAGTGGCCAGGATGGGGACAGGGCCTGTCTGCACACAGCTGATAAAATGCTGTGTCGCCTTCACCTCTGGGTTCTTGGTCTCCACTTCCAAGTCCGCTGGTATCTTGATCCTTTTAACAATCCTACCGATGATGACAGTAAACATTTGCGTAAGGCTTTACAGATTAGAGAGATTTCTCACCCATTATCTCATTTAATCCTCACCATGACCATGTCAGGTGGGAAGAGCAGGCTTTATTTTTTTCTTTATTCTACAAAAGAGGAAACTGTAGCTCAGTGACATTATGAGACTCGCCCAAGGTTACAATGCTAGTGAGTGGAAAAGCAAGATGTGGGCCCAGGTCTCCTGATTCCACATCGTTCGCCTGAACCACACCTGCTGCCTCTTGGTACAAGCAGCTGCGTAGTTAACATCTAATTTCTGCTAGTTCTTAACTCTCCAGTTTTTATCCAATGCCCCCAAACCTACTCAGGTTCCAAAAAGAAATAAGGCGGGCAGCCAAACCATGTGCTCATCCCCATGATGCTTCTGTCACTATTCACAATCCCCCTGAAATAAATAACAACACCTGCAGGTGGCCTGGCTGCCACTTACCGCCCTTCCTTCACCCTTTCCCTCTGCTTCTTTCACATCGTTCCCCCCACTACGTCCAGCCTCCTGCTCTGATTGCTTTCATCACCCTTTCTCTACATGAAAAAATGTTTGAGCTCTGGCTGGTGTGGCTCAGTGGATTGAGTACTGGCCTGCAACCAAAGGTTGCATGTTTGATTCCCAGTCAGGGGTTTGTGGGCCAGGCTCCCAGGTCGGGGCATGTGAGAGGCAACCGTTGATGTATCTCTCATATGTTGATGTTTATCTCTTTCTCTCTTTCTTCCCCCCCTCTAAAAATAAACAAATATAATCTCTTTTAAAAAGCTTGAAACTAAATAATGAGGACTCTCAAACTCCCACGGATCTCCCAACCACACCCTCTCAGACACATCTGCCCCTTCCCATGTGGGCCTCCCCTAAGCTTGCACCGGCTCTGAGCTGCGGGTGGCTTTTGGTCAGGAACGCTGCGCTTCTCTCCGCTTCACTCTGACTTCCCTTGGAATGGAACACCAAAGGGAAAAGGGATTGTGCTAAGAGAGATTGCCATCTGGGAGATTAATCTGCTGATTAAGCAGACCACATAGGCCTTATCACATATGTAGCCAGAGCTGGCAGAAGCACCAAGAGGGGACAGGCAGAGTCCTGGGGCCCAGCTCCTTTGCCACTAACCCCGGGACAGTAACTGGGTCATTCTTCCCCAGCCTCATTCACTGGGGGCTGAGGGAGGAGGCAATGAAAGGACTCTGTCTTCCTAGCCCTAATCTTCCATGACTTTATAAACACCAGAGAATGACAAAGCACCTTGGTGGTTTTCACAATAGGGTTCAGGGAACAGGCAAAGGGGTTAAAGAATTACTGAGAAGCCAAGGAGGAAGACAGAACAAAAATAAAGTGGGTAGAAAAATAAAGAGATTGGTAGTTTCCCCTTCCCCCCCTTCCTCTACAATGTTAAGAAAAATAAAATACAAAGGAAAATAAACAAATGAAGAGACTCATAGTGAAGAAGTCCTCACAAAGACAAACTAGAGAGGAGGGCTTGGGCCCAGGGCTGGCCTAGGGACACAGACAGAAGGCACCTGGGAGGAGTGGAGGGTGGGGCCGGCGTGCCCCTAGAGGCCTCCTCAGTCCTCCATGACCACTGCCAGCCAGAACGGTCCCCCCCGGCCCCCCAACACCACTCCCTACAAACCACCCCTCACAAAGTCCAAGGCTCTTTCTCAGGGCTAACACTGTACCATCCCCCAAACTCAAGGCCACAGCTCTGACATGATGGCCCCATTTATTGAGCACCTCCTATGCACCAGGACTCCTGCTGAGCACTTGATATGCCTTTCTCATTGAATCTTGCCAGTAATTCTCTGCGTTTTATCACATCGGTGCTATTATCATCTCCATTTCTCAGGCAAGGATGTCGAGGCAACAAAGTTTAACTCGCTTAAGGCTGCACGGTTGGTAAATGGCAGAAACCAGTGTTCAAGTGTCAGGCGCTTCCACTTTGTTCTTCTGTCTTCCACGGAAACCTTGTCTGGCGCCTTGAGTTGGAAAAGGCCTGGGAAAGGTGGCCTGGTTCAGAAACCCCTTGCTGAAAGGTGAACTCTGACTACACAACTTGTTTTTTTCCTAGAGCAGTTTGGGTGTTGACTTAAACTCATCATGAGGTCTCCAGCCTGTGACTCCTCTCAAGGCTTCCAACGGGCACTAGAAAACTCGGATCTGTCAGACTGGCCCTGAGATTAGCACCTGGCCTGCACCAGACAGGCCCCATCCCGGCTGACAGAGCCACTGTCGGAGGCCGGCTGGGGTGGGAGGAATCAAGGAAAATGACACATCGGCACCAGGAGCTCCATGGATGGTGTAGCCCCTTGCTTCTGCCAGACACAGCTTCTCACCCCAACACCATTGGGAACATTGGGGTTCTGAAGTCAGCACAGGGCAAGAGCTCAAGAATCACACTTGACTCCTCTGTGCTCAGGTCTCTTAGCTTCCTCCTGCTTCTGCTAACCCTTGCACTAAACTGAACCACTGGTGCCCTCCTCATCATTATTCTTGTGGAGGTAAAATAGGACAAGGCGTGCAAAGCACTTACTAGCACCAAGCCAGGCACGCAGTCATAATAATTGTGACTTTACATACTAACTGTGACTTTACATATGTTGCCTTATTTAATCATCTGGTGATTAAATAAGACTGAAGTAGGGGAAGGTTAAGTCATTTCCCCAAAGTTACTCCCTAGGAAAGAGTGGATGCAGGGTCCCACGGTCGTACACTGGCTCCTCGCCTCCTTGGTAAACCCCAGTTGTTGCTGTTACTGTTTGTTGTTATCATCAAGGTCACTGCTGTTACAAGTTCTCTTTCCTGTAGGTGTGGTGGAAACCAATAAAGGAAGACAAAATTTTCACCAGGATGGCTGACAAGGAGTGAGGGACTTGAGCAACAATTTTCTATTGTTGTTCTCAGCGAGGGAAGGTGAGAGACTCAGAGAGGGAAGGTGAAAGACTGAAACCAAGCGCTGGGAGTCAGTCCCAACCCTGCTCGGGCTACCCTCCCCCCACCCCCTAAGAAAGGCACACCCACGGTGGGGATGCCTGTGTCTGGAATTGTGAGCTAAAAAGAACAAAGTCACTGCAGGAAACTAGAAGAAAGAACACCAAACAGAAAGTGGGAAGAGGTCCCGGGGGTCAAGGATGGGCTGGGCACTGACTTGTAGCAGAAATTGGCATTGTGCTTATAGAACCGGCAGAGGTTCCCGTCATCTGGGGGCGTGGCACAGAAGAAGATGGACGGTGACAGGTTGTATCGGCCAGTCTTGCAGAATTCATCGTTTTCTCGGGGAGCACCAGGCTCGATGGCAACGCGATCACCTGAGAAGAAAACACGGGGGAAGCACAGAGATGCTGTGAAGGGGCACGGGCCCGTGGGCAGATAGATACCAGCAAGGGAACCTGGTGAAATGAGCCACCCCCCTCCCTGGGAACCCAGGGTATCCTAAGCAATGGGCCGGTAACCCAGCCCATTGGTGCTTCCAGAGGAAACACAAACGAAGCACAGGCTCACACTCTGGGAGAGAATGAGCAGCCCACTTCTCCACAGACCGGTTTGGCCTGCCTTTTTACCAACTCATGGACCAAACCAACCAGTTCCACAGCCGCCTCCCAGCTTGGAAAACACGGACTAGTCCGCTCTCTAAGGCAAGCCAGCTCCACTTCCCCTCTCAAACTGCTGCATAAGAGCTAACTAGTATGTGGAGTTTGCAGACATCTTTTTCTTTACCGGTTTTGGAAAACTGGGCAAGGCCTTTACAAAAGCCATACAGTCTGACTGTGGTTGGACAATACCACTGAGTCCTGGTCAGCAGAACCGTTCAGGCAAATGACCCACGGAGGCCTCCGTTCTGGCACGGTGGAGAGTAACACTCAGGCTTATGAACAGCCAGCTCTACTGTACTTACACTCTCTCACTGGGTCTGCTTAGAAACCCAGCCTTAGAATTTCTCTTCTCTCTCCTTATTAGGAAAATTTTCAAACATACAGCGCAGTTGAAAAAACCGTGCCGTGAACACCCAGCTATCCCTCACCTAGATTCAATGAACATTTAGCAACATTCACTTCACTACACATTCATCTATGCATCCAATCTATCCACCTCTTATCCACCAGTCCACCTTCTTTTCTGATGCATTTTAAAGGTTGCAGACATTAGTACAGTTCACCCTTAAATACTTCAGCCAGCATAGCATTAACTAGAGTTTAATACTTGTTTACAATTCGTTTTTAAGGTAAAATTTTGTTACTGATGAAACAAAATTTTGTTATTGATGAAATGCACAAATAATAAGTGGATTACTAGATGAATTTTGATAGATGCATTCACCTGTGTGGTGCACACCCCTGTCAACACACAGAACGTTACCACTGTCTCAGAAATTCCATTCCTTTGTGTTTCTTCCCAGTCAGTCTGCACCCCAATGCCCAGGGGGTGTTCTGATGGCATTAAGGCCCTCCCGACCCTGAGAAATGTGTTGTTAGCAGCCAGAGAAGAACCCTGGCAGGTCTGCCTTTTACTAAGCAGCGACACATTAGGCTATTTTTTATGTGTTTTGTGTTCAAAGTGTCCACAGAAGAGTGTGGAGCTCTGGCATGCTCATTAAAACAGTGATGGGGAGGTGGCTCTCCCTCCCGGAGGGGGCCCAAAGTGCCTTTCCCCATGCCTCTTTTACCCCCAATCACTCAGGCTTGTGACCTTTACCCTTCTCTCTCCTAAGCTTCAGGGGCCCTTCTTTTGCCTCTGTAACCTGTTTCCTGAGCCCATGTCTTCCACAACTCACTTCTGCTACCTCTGTGACTTTCTAAATAAACTTTCTAATTTGAAAAAAAAAATAGTGATGGCGATAGTAGTAGTAGTAGTAGTAGTAGTAGTAGTAGAAATACATAGTAGCATCAACTGTTTTTATTATGTTTGTCATTACTGTAATTATCTGAGCTGATATTACTGTAGAAGAAATTTATGCTATAAAAACAGATGGCCAGCCCTGGCCACATGATCGAGGTTCAATTCCCAGTCAGGGCATATGCCTGGGTTGCAGACCAGTTCCCGGCAGGGGACTCACGAGAGGCAACCACACATTGATATTTCTCTCCTTCTCTCCTTCCTTTCCCTTCTAAAAATAAATAAATAAATAAAATCTAAAAAAAACAACAACAACAGATGGCCAGATTATATGTAAATTAGGAATTCTTCCATGTCATAGATTTATTCTTTAATATTTTTAAAATTTTTATAAATGAGTATATCAAGAACTACTCAATGAGTGGTTTTCTTTTTTCTAGATTAGTTCATTAGAGCTTTAAGTCAAAGTTAGCAAATGAAACACTTAAGTAAAATTTTGTATTAAAAAAAGGAAGAGCCCACAAAGTTCCCCGTGGCCCCTATTTCCCCGACTGTCTCTGCCGCTTCCAGAATTGACAAGGAATCCTTCAACTGCACCTCCAAAATCCTCCATAGTTAGGTGGAGTTTATCTTATTCAGTTTTGTCTTCTAATTATTATTACATCATAGTAATAATATTGTAATAACTCAGTTGTGTGGTGCTTTTTTTATTGATTGGTTTTTAGAGATAGGGAGGGGGAGAGAGAGGAAGAAACATCAGTGTGTGTTTCCACTTATTTATGCATACACTGGTTGATTTTTATGTGCCCTTACCCAGGATCGAACCTGCAACCTTGGTGTATTGGGACAACGCTCAACCCTGAGCTACCCTGCCAGGGCCACAGTATGGTGCTTTTTAAAGAAAGATTCTTTTTGTACAGATTATGCAGTTTTATCATTTCCACTACCTCCCCAAGGCAGAATCTCTGTTCTGAGTGGCACAGACTTAGTGACAACCCAGATATGTAACTCTCACCTCTGTATTTTTTTTACTCTGTTCCTCTTAACTGGAATATTAGCTTCTGATCTCTTTACTAACTCAAATACAAAACCTTTCATGCTGGGCAGTTCAGTGGTTCTGAGCACTTGCTCTAGAGTCAGAAAGACCAAGGCAGCTACCCTATAGCTCTAACACTGACTAGTGTGTGACCCCGGGCAATTGCTACGCTTCGCATTCTTCATGCATTAATGAGGAGAGTAATGCATAGCTTGTAGAGTTGTTTCAGGAACAAAGTAAGTAACTTTATGTATTAACATGGAGACTAACAATAGTAAAGCGATAAATGTTATCTGCCTTCTTCTTATAATTATTATTGTTAAATGTCTAGCTCAAACACCTATTTCCTCCATGAACCTATTTTACACACCTCTGCCCATGACAAATGTCCTTTCTTTGAACATCTAGAGCCTATTCTTTACTGATTTCACCCGATGGTCTTGTTCTCTCTCTATATATATATCCCAACATCTGTTGTCCCCAACTAGACTGAAGCATCCAAGGATCTTATCATCTTCATTTTCTATATCCCTCAAAGCACCTGGCTCAGGCTGGACCCATAGTTAAGTTATAACTATGCCTGTTATAACTTAAATGTAGAGAACACCACTCCCTGTTATGATATTTATTTAGAGACCTCCTCTCACAGGTAATAACCAACCAGTGGCTGTTGGAAGCTATGAACCTTCCACCTCAGACAAACCCTGCAAAACCTCAGCAGCTTTCTCAACTTGCCTGCTGATGGAGGGCCTGGCTTAACATTCCTAAATGAGACACACATCTAGCTTCTTCAGAGCTGGTCACTCCCTCCCCACACAACTGTGCTCAGAGAGTCTTCTAACATAGGATGGTACCTCCTACCAACCTCCTCCTTCCTCCAAATAGTCTGATGTCATCTCCAGGCTGTACAGTGGCCTCATAAGCAAATCAAGGTTAAAGCCAAAGGCTAACTATGCCAGGACAGCTTGGATTTAATTCACTGTGTTGGGGAACATATCACAGTCTGACACAGCTGAGAATTCCTCCCTCTGAGGGAATGAATTAAGCAAATCTAGAAACATATAGGTTATTTCCTAGCCATCCAATAAAACCAAAGACTGTGTCAAAGGCCCTGGTTCTTAGTATGTGGAAGCAGATTGTGGTTCCTGGGCCTGGAACATTTCCCCCACTCCTATTCCTGGCCATTCCTTACTTGCTGGCAGGTGTTGGCTTAATTGTCCCTTCCTCAGACAAGCCAGGGGTCTGAGTAGAACACACCAGTCACACCCTCTATTCTCTGCTGCCCTCACCACAATTGTAATTAAGTATCTGCCTGTGCGTCCCAGCTCTGTCTCCCACTGTGAAAGGTAAGATCCGTGTGTTTTGGGTCCGAGGCTGTCTTGTTGACGGTCGCATCCCCAGTGTTCAACAGAGAGCCAGCCCCGAGAAAGCCCACACAAATATTGATGCTGAATGAATAAATCTATCCATTAGCTGCAGGGCTTTGCTGACCTGGTTGTAGGTGCTTTACCAAAGATCCCACTTTTATGACTGTTCCTGCAGCTTCATGGCCCAGCACCGTTGGCTTTTTCACAATGAAATCTCCAATCCGACCGTGCTGCCAGTAGTGGACATCTGAGCCGCAGATTCCAACGGAATGCATCCTCAGCAGCACCTCTGATAGGAAAAAGGAGAAGGAGACACAGTGAAGGAGGGAACCACCCTTGTATCACCCTGAGCCACCCTGGCAATTCTCCTCTAGACGAAGGAGAGGACTTGCTTTCAAAGGCCAGGTACACGATTTAGACCATAGAGGAAAGCAAGCTAAACAGCAACCCCAACTGAGTCTTGCAAGGCAAGGAAGCTTCCACAGAGCAAAATAATTGCATGTGAGGGTTCATTCTATGTGCCAACCTGACTATGTGGCCAGTTATTTGGTTAATTGCTAGATGGTGCTGCGAAGGTATTTTTCAGATGTGATTAATACTTAAGACATGAAAACAACCTAACTGTCCATCAATAGATAAATGGATAAAGAAAATGTAGTATATGTACACAACAGGATATTATTCAGCTATAAAAAATGAAGAAAATCTTACAACATGGATGGACCTAGTGGTCCGTTATGCTAAGTGAAGCAAGTCAGACAGAGAAGGACAAATACTGTATGATCTCACTTATATGTGGAATCTAAAAACAACAGAAGCAACAACAAAAAAACCCAAGCTCACAGATACAGAGAGCGGATTGGTGGTTGCCAGAGGCAGGGCGTGGGGGATGGATGAAATGGATGCAGAGGGTCAGAAGGTACAAACTTCCAGTTTTAAAGTCATGAGGACCCCATGTACAGCATGGTGACTATAATTAATAGTCCTGTGTTGTACATTTGAAAATTGCTAAGAGAATAAATCTTAAGTACTTCTCACGACTGTGACATCAGCTCCTACCCAAATTTCCAGACCTACAAATTTCAGCCTTGCCAGCTCCCAAAATCATGTGACCAATTCCTAAAAGTAAATCTCCCCTGCCCTCTACATACATGTATTATATATATAATATATATATGTATGTGTATATATATATACATACACACATATACACACATACACACACATATAAATCTATATAATAAATCTCTCTCAGTTCTGTTTCTCCAGAGAACTCTGACTTAACACACAACATAAACAAGATATTATTGGTAGGAAGAAATGTATCACCTACATAAGAGAAAAAAACTGTTTTCTAGGATGTAACTGTTAACAGGCTATACGTGATTCCTACTCATGAAAGGGAGGCTGGCAGTCTAGGCTTGGCGATACCTTGTGAGCTGTCAGGCTGCACGTCGTGCCTGTTGTTTTGTTTAAAGGTGCAGTGTCAGTCCAAACCACTCACATATTTCAACTGGCATTCCAACCTTCACAGGTTTGAATATAGTGACATTTGGTGGTGTTGTTGTTGTCAGTTTTCCAAGTTTAAGATAATGATGCCACTGAGCCCCTTTGCTGAACTAAGTCCTAAAGGATTACTGGCCCAGTCTGACTGAGATGGCCATGTTACAAGTATCTTCCTGAGAAAAACAAAGACACCCAAAACCATGCTATGCATTCAGGTGTCTTACACTGTCCTTGACACAAACCATGGGCAATCCCCCAGGTGTGGTTCTGTAGAATTTTCTACAGAAAATTGGTGAACACAATAAGAAATGACATAGTGAATTCTGAAATCCAAGATAGGGAAAAGTCCTTTGAGTTAAGAAAATTATCCCAGAGTTTCCTCTCTTGAAGTCACCAGTTTGTAATAAGAGGTTAAATTCTACTTGCTAAAACTCTAGCTGAAAGGAACCATTATTTCCCCTTCCAACTCAAGGGCAGCAAGATGCAAGCAACATCTAGCAAATGACCAAACAACTGGGCACCATAGCGTCCAGATGACACATAGAAAAGCAGTACCAGGATCTTTTGAGTCCAAGATAGCCCTTGATTGGCCACCGCCAGAATCAACACCAACTTTTCAGGTCACAGTGAGCTGCCTTTCACTGCTCTAAAAATGGTACCTTGGTGAAAACACCGAAACCCTAAATATACATTAGTTGCTAAATACTGATAGAAACAGCTCTTGTTTGTATTCTTATCACTATAAATCAATAACTCAACTGACCTTTGAGTAGCAAAGCTTTGGAGGCTCCAGGAAATCTACCTTCAGTCTGATGTTCACTACAAGCCACCAGTAGGGGTAAGGCGGGGCAGTACATTCCAACTTATCAGGGACAGGAAGGGGGCCCGACTGGCTGGGTGTGAGACGAGCTATCTGTAGACACTCTGCCCCATGCTCCCAGCCTCACTTCAGGGTCCTGCAGATCCTGACGTGGGACTCCAGGGATGGGAGGGATTAGAAAACTGTCGGCAGGGATCTGCCTTAACCAATAGGGTGGCACGACCACTCCAGGTATAGACACCACCCAGGAAATGTGTATGTCAGCTCAGCCGCTGGCTCGCAAAGTGAGAGGCCTGGAGTGGAGCAGAGGCAATGGGAACCCTGCCCCAGTGTGCACACCCACTTTCTGAACCCAGCTGATTCGGGCAGTGGGGCAGGACTCCTACCTCCTGCCATCCCCACTGCACAGAAGATCTTGGTCTTCCTGGCAAGATGCTCCCATTTCTAACTAAAATATCACATTCTTTAGACTCACTCCTTTTCAAAATTTGGATTCAGGAACCCAAACAGTGGCATATAGTGGATAGAGTGACCTAAGATCAGAAGAAGAACAGTTCTTCTTTTGGTAAATTGAGGACATTTTATGCCAAAAATTCTTTAGGACAAGGCAGCAATCAGATATGGTAACTATTCTCATCCTACCACTATTTCTTGCAGTGCATGTAGCAGCCAAGTGGAGTCTGTGGACAATGGACTAAGTGGAAAGCCTAACAAAAGCATAGTTCTTCATGGAGGCAGAAGTATGAATTGCAGCAGAAGAGGGTGCGGGAGTGATGCATAGAAGTTGAGTAACCCAAGGACCTACCATTTGGGCCTGGTTCAGGGATAGGATAGTTCTCCTAAAGAAAACAAAACAGAAAAATCATTTAGCATGCATAATAAATTTACCTTATGAACATTTTCAATTTTTAAAAATTAAAGTGGAATTTCATTAAAATATATCTTAAGATTAACACAGGCTCAGGCTAAGCTGTTGCTGGGTGGATGCCTGAGGGGCCACACTTGAACAATGGTGTCCCCAGCCCCTTGCCCTTCAACTGTGCACTTTGCCCCGGGCTCAGAAAACATTTGCTCTGTGCATCCCCAGCCAGAAAGGGTGTTTGGGCTGCTTCCCTAGATCTGCCTTCGCTGACAAATCCTTCTCTCCTGAAAACACACATCATTAGATACAGATTTGTTTGACCCGGCAACCTTGGGCCAGGAAAGGTCAGCGTTTCTAGCAGCTGCAGAGGTTGGAAGTGTGAGGCTGTGCTCTCCCCTCTCCATCAGGGCACAGACCAACACTTGGTTCTCTCTTTCAAAACATCCTATTTGGAATTTTAGAGCCTCCTCCACTCAGTATACAGGGGACCTGTATTTTGAACTCTCACAGGTTCAAAGAGCAATCTGAGTTATAAATATTTATAATATCACAAAAATATTATTTTCCCTCAATGCCAACTGGCTAGGAAATTCCTGGTGATGAGGAAAGGCTGAGTGGTCAAATCCAAGTGTTTATTTTATAATTCTTTGAAGGCAGCCTAGAAGAGGAAGGGATATGAAATGTTCATGGTACTTACTATGTGCCAGACAGTGTTCTGGGCTTTATACACATCATGATACATGCTATTTTATAGCCCACAGTTTGCAGATAAGATACCTGAGGCTGGGAAGTGCAATAACTTGGTCAAGTTCATACTGCCAGAGAGTGGATAAATCAGGGCTAAACCCACTTGTGTCTGATTCCCAAGCCTACCTAACCTCAATGCATCCCACGGTACCCCCAAGGTGGAATGTGCCTTTTCTCCTTCAGGGATGACACAAGGAGCTGTCAGTTGGGTGGTGAGAAGGTCGGAGCTGGGCCCCACACATCCAGAGCAGTCTGGGAAGAGACACTACTCAAAGTTTGTCTCCTTCTGAAAGCCTCCCCAGACGGTTTTATGGGCAGCAATAAACAACACTGGAGCTATTTAGCTAACAAGATAATGAGCTACATCCAAAGCAGCCTGACAATTTTTCATCCCTTAATAATTTAAACTGCCTACCTGTGGAAGGAAGACAGGAGGGAGGCAGGGAGAAAAGGGGCTAGGGAATCCATTTAGAAATGGGTAACTCAGGATAGCTGACTATCAGCGAAATCTTTTCCGAAGAAGTTGCTAGGGAAAAAAAGAAGTTGCTGGTCCCACATCTGACATTATGCAACATCAGGAACTGCTGTGTAGTTATGTTTCTGTTATACTGTGCGTGACATTTAAAATTTTTAAGCTGTAGGTTAAAACGAGCAGAATAGCACCCCACACTGCCCCCTAAAGGTACTAGAAGGTAATTTCCCAGGCGCTCAGAGAATTCCACAGCATACTATTAATAGTTTGCCTCCAACCAGGCCAGGCCTGAACACCCTGCTTGAAGGTGGAGAAGGAATAAGATTCCAACTTACGGCAACTGATGGGTGCCGTAAGGCACTGGGTGGCACTAGGAATTACTACTGTAAATATTTGTTGGAGTTTACGTGCGGGAGCAGCTTCGACCTTCCCACAGAACTAAGGGTGCAGTGGCTTTCTTAGACACTAGAGGATGCTGTGCCCATAGCCTAGTTTTTCCTCAGTAGCAGAGAACACTTTTTGGAGAAATTAAATACCTTTCCCCATTTTCTTTTCTGTCCTCTTTCTTGCTAACACCAATCACCCTCACAACTCGGTTTGGCTCCTGACTCCCTTCTCTGCCGGAGACATGCCACTTGAGCACAAGACTACGTTGAGATCAGCCCTTAAGTTTGTTAATATATGCCTAAGCACATCTGTGGAGCTCGCAATGTTTTAGAAAGTTATCACAACATGATTACTAAAAAAACCTTGCTTTTTGTTGGTGACCTTGGCTACAATCCTGTGTACTTAATCACCTTTGCTGCCTCACATTTCACTGGTAATATCTTTCGTTTATCCTATTTCTCATTTTTCAAAATTTCTTACCTCCTCTGAGTGCTGGAACATTCACTTTTATCCCTACAACCCAAGCAGGCAAAAGGAATCCTAAGTGAGATTCCTTATCTGTGTGTGATAGTAACAAGATGTAAGAGTTGAGTAACTGTTCTTTATTGTAGTTATGTCAGTTTTCTAGCATTTTTTCACGTTGTCATAGTTTACATACATACTCTCCTTCTATCTCCTTGAGGTCTCCCCTCCCTCACTCTGAATAAATCATGTAAATCAGGAAGAACTGTGGGGACATGGAATCACCTCTGGTGCTTCTAGCATCCTAAATGTTATCTTGCCTTTCCTAAATATATTTTCTCAAATTAGCCTAAAAATATTTCTAAATCTATCTTAACGGCCCCCTTTCCTCTACTTCTACCTGCACAGCTGAGGTCACACCCTCAAGTACATCTGGCAGCGGCTTGGCCTCAACCTGAGGAGAAATCAGGGGCAGATGCCTCTCCCTCTGCCAGCAAACCTGAGTGGTGCAGTGGTGAAGAACTCAGATCCTAGGAGCATTTGTCCATGCACAAATCCAGGCTCCTCTCCACCAGCTGTGTGACCTTGGGGTAATTACATAACCTCGAGTGCCTTCAATTTCCTCCTCTGTTTAATGAAGATACTCATACAGAGAGTACCTGGCTCAGAGTAAGTTAGCTCTTATTACACAAGAAAATCAAAGTTCTTTTCTTATAATTAGCTCACAGTATGGTTGAACCAGCTTTGGGCAACCTTGTTCTTTTCCTTTTCCAAGGGTAAACTTTTTGTTGTTTTGGAGAAAGTTGCACTTCTTTTTTTTAATGTCAATATCAAGAGAACTTAACTTCTCCTCTAAAGGATAGAATATAGAAGTGAAGTAGGATTCCAACAATGTTATAGGCTTCATTGTATCAATTGTAGATGAGTGTAAAGCCATATCCCCCCTAACTTACAGTGAGGGACAGCAGGCATGGCTCAGAGAAGGTGGTCATCGCTGCCTTACGTCTTTACAGCCCACCTTCTCCCATCTGCCAGGTTCCCTGTCAGCTAATTGGCTGGCTGCCCTGCACACTTAAGGACAGCAGAACAGGAGACTCTATTTTTGCTTCCCCTCCTCCTCAATTTTCCCTCCCTTGAGTTCCTGAAAGGTGTTTTAAGGGTGGGAGGGAAGTCCAAAGTTTCCCCAGTTGGTCATTGTGTCATGAGGCTTTGTTCTTGGCATAGGCCCTGGTAAACAGGGTCAAAGTAGAAGGGTCAGACATTCTCCCAAAATCCTCTCAACTGTTGCCAGCACAAACTACCCGAGCTCCAAGCCTGCTGAATTCTCAACCCCCCCCCTGCACCCACATGTTTATATCCAGGGGAACTATTTCACTACTGGTTGATCCCTCTCCTTCAAGATCCTACGTGGGGTGGGAAATGAGGGGAAAGAGGCCTGAAATGACTTCCTAAATACCGTGGGAATTGGGGGAGATTTAGCGTTGGATGTGCTGGGGTTGTGGTGTCTGGGGACATCCAGGTGGGGCTGTCCAAAAGGTGGGCCAAGGTTAGACTCATGAACTTGAATCATGAACACAGACTGAAGCAAAGCCTGCAAGATGCCTTCCCTATCCTCACCAGGCTGGGAAGGTGACTCCTTCCTCTCCTTTGAACTTCCCCAGAACTTGGAACTGAATCCATTCAGAATCAGTAAAGGATTGTTTAATTCTCAGTTATGATAAATAATCTTGAAAAAATAATTTCCTCCTAATTCAAAACATATGAAAACAACCACACATGAATTTACTAGATGATTTTTTTAGATACAGAAATAAACATTTATTTAAAATGAGAAATAAAACCATAATGAATCACAATTGTTAAAAAAGCTTAGCATGACAGAACACAAAAGACAGTAAAACAATTATTATTATATTGACTTATTGACATGACTAGATGATTCTTTAAGCAAAAGTACAAAGTCTGAGCTTTCAGATGCTCTAGTCCAGTGATTTTTCAACCTTGTTCATCTCATGGCACACATAAACTAATTACTAAAATTCTTCAGCACACTAAAAAATATACTTTTTGTTGACCTGACAAAAAATAGGCATAATATTTATTCAATCACACAGGACAGCAATTGTTGTGTTGGTTATTGTCATTTTTATATTTGACAATCTAAGGGAAAAGAGGTCAGTGCCCCTGACTAAATAGTCAGGTACTGCATATTTTACAAATACTTATGGTGCCCTGGCTGGTGTGCCTCAGTGGATTGAACACAGGTCTGCGAAGCCGAGGGTTGCTGGTTGGATTCCCAGGCTAAGGCACATGCCTGGGTTGTGGGCCAAGTCCCCAGTAGTGGGGGCATGTGAGAGGCAACCACACATTGATATTTCTCTCCCTCTCTTCCTCCCTCCCTTCCCCTCTGTCTAAAAAATAAATAAATAAAATCTTTTTTTTAATTTCCTATGGCACACTGGTTGAAAAATCACTGCTCTAGTCTGTTACTTAGCATTGAACAAGTGCTGTGTTCAGGCCCAAGTAATTGAATGTTTACACTAAAAAAAAAAAAAAAACTGTTGAACTGAATATCAGTTTACAAAATCTGACCATATTCTCTCCAGTTATATGAGTACACATTTCTCCTCCTTAATTCCCTTAAAATTTTTTAAAAATTATATATATATAGATAGATAGCTTTGTTGTTCCACTTATTTATGCACTCATTGGTTGTTTCTTGTATGTGCCCCCACCAGGGATTGAACCTGCAATCTTGGTATATTGAGATAATGTGCTAACCAACTGAGCTGGCCGGCCAGGGCTTCCTCCTCAATTGCTGACATGCAATTTTAAAACAGAACCCTCCCCTACACCCGTTAATTCTGGTTTCCCCTTCAGAATAGGGTTAATTTTTACCATGTCTCTTAGCAGTACTAAAACTTACTATTTGTGATAGTAAGTACTAAAATCCTATTTGTGATATTGTTTACTTCTCTTCCTGCTTTTCCCCTAAAAAGAGGAAAATTTTAGCTTTCGCAGGCAAAGGCACTGCCCTTTCATACCAGTATTTGCTGGGTTTAATTTCCTGTTGTTTATCTGTTTGGGGGTTTGTTTCAAAGCTGAAACAGTTAATGTAAAGGGAAGGAAGGTATTTCTTTGGGCTATTTGCTGCTACCCAGTTTTCCCTTTTTCTGAAGTAGTTTTAAATTCTGTTTGCAGTCTCAACTGCCTCTGACTGTTAAGTCTAGCTCACGTTAAAGGTTAATTAGCATGCATTTCCCCGCTAACAGTAACTGCTCCTCCTTAAAACCGATGAATTCGATTATATAGAAGCTGCTGGCTCCATCAGCTGGTGGCAGAACTAACCAGGACCAAGGAGAGATGTGATGCCCAGGACCACTTGGGCTGTTGAGTATTCAAGGACCCCTCTTTCTACAGTCTCTTTCTGTTCAACCAGAAATCTTAACAGTAAAGTATATATGCAAGGAAGGGGACATTTTAAATGTGTTAGGTTACAGACACAGAATTATCTTAGTTTTTAAAATATTGTTACAGGTTCAAAGTAATTCTTTCGAGCCAGGGCATAATACAGTTCCTGAAAGAGCGAAAACTCATGTCTTCATGGAACTCATTCATTTTTAAACTTGATCGTGGCACATTATTTTCTCTGCTCTTTATAACTAAACATCAACCCATCATCCTAAAATTATTTTTCCTTTAACTTGCTCTCTCCAAACACAGCTGATGATAAAACATTCAGGTGTGCATCAGTGCCTGGAGACATATATAAATCCTATCAATAATTCTTGTGGTATTCAGCAACTTGGACATAGGGACCATGTTGTTCCTGTTCTCTTTATCCAGATGCTTGTGACTAAAATCTGGTAGAGCTGGCTGTCAGGAATAAGGGGGATAAAGCGTACTTGGCATGGCTAAACTATTACCGATGTGTAATGCAATATGGACATGAACTGACAGGAGCATTTTGAAATGTCTATAGCATTTTGACATTCCTGTAATATCCACAAAGTCTGTGAAGCTTTTGTAAGAATTGGGGATTCTAAAATTTTCATTAATATAGAAACTAACTCATGCTTTTCAAGTTCACATGACCTAAGATTAATTCTTAATAAGTAAAAGCCAGCTTAACTTTGTTGGTTTAAATAAAACAGACATGTCTTTATTTCATCTGAGTTTTACAAACATAAGTCCATGTTAATAACTGACTTTGATGTCTAGGAAGTGTTTCTAGAGGATAGGTGATTTAGAAAAATGAATAGTCGAGGCTACGGGAAACCTAGGAGGGCTGCTTGGTTCCTCCCTGCTCCCTGGCTTCCCATTTTCCAGTCTCTGCATTCCTTTCTACATCAAATGCATCTAAGTTGGACTTTGATGAGGGAACTTATGAGTTGACATTATTGAAAGACACCTTACACTATTGGTAATGGTCGATAAAGTCACTTCAAGAAACTGCAAAGTCTGGAACTGCTTCCTTTCACAGCAAGCTCCCAGGAGACAAAGACTTTAGATATTGCTTTTTAGAAAAGACATCAAATAAAAGAAACTCTCTGACTTCACTGGACGGGATCTTATCAGGGGCCCAACCACAAATGGACATCTACCTCTGTCTCTGACACTTGACTCTGCTCCAACTCTAGGATCAAAGGGGACCCTGGAATGAGAAACTGCTGACAGCAGAGGTGGGCAGCTGTCCCAAGACATCAAAGCCTGCGTAACTGTGGATTGGTATTGAACTTGGAATTACTTGTCTTTAACTATTTGCCAATGATATTAGTCATACAAATAGTTACACTTGTTATTTGGATTTTTTCTATACTCCAGCTGTTTACAATTACTGAATGTGTGTAAAATAACTTAATACTCTTCTCATGGCTTATGTAAATGTTAGACTAGATGCTAGATACAGAAAAATGAGACAGGAGGCAACACTTGGATCCTAATGTGCAAAGGACAGCAATAATCCAGAGTGCTGTTTCCCAGTGAAGGCCATAAGACGTGATTGCCCTCCATGGACCTGCCCTTCCCTTTTTGGGAAAATTTCACCCCAACTCATCCCATGGTTATGGTGTTGCCCCATCCTCAGTGGTCAATAAGATGACACAGGCACTGAGATTTGCTAGGAACAAGCCTTCTTAGCTCTGGGAGACCACATTATCAGACCAAAAGGTTGGTCATCAATGCATCCTTCAGAATAATTTATGACCAAAAGGGGAAATTGTAAATGAAAAAGGACTTCTTTGAAAAGTAACCTCTCAGGGTGATGTGATCCTAATTCCTAACTGGACAGGTCATGGTGAACAGTCACATCTCAGGCTTATAACTTATTTAGTAAAAGGCTTATCTTTGCCTTAAACAAAGCCCTGCCCATTGTTTCTATGCATCTAGGTTAACACACCTTTGAAATACCCCCTTTTATTTATTATTATTTTTTATTGTTGTTCAAGTACGGTTTCCTGCCTATTTGAAATACTCCCTTTCAGACCCCTCCTTTCTAAAGGAAGCCACCCTCAAGAGAGCACAAAACCTCATTAACTATTCTATAATCCGATCTTACCTTGCTTCCTCCCATCTTCACGTAGTCTTCCTTTGTTACCCTCCTAATTTAATATGAATTTTAAAACTGCAAAACTGTTGTTCTCAGGAATACCTTAGATCTTGTTCCCTGGCATGTGTCATTTGGACATTTCTTAACACTGACACCTTCAAGAGTCAGTTCAAGCAGTATTCATCTCTAGGGCCTTCTTCCTGGGCCAAAGGCCCCTCCCTGGAGGCCTTGACTCTGACCTCCAAAGTCCACACACTGTTTTATTGTTTACTTCAACTCTGTTTCCCTAGAGTAGCTTGGGGTTAGAGGCTGTGTACTCCTCCTCCTCTTCTCTGGGTACCCAGCCCATGCATGGCACATGGAAGGTAGACTCTCTTCTAGTATATGTTTGTGGAATAAAGGATTGAGTTTGAAATTACACTGTAAGCTGTGTAGAGCTGCACCATTTTTCCTTCCTCATAATACCATCTGGCATTGGTAGCAGTGAACACTAATAGTGTCGTTTTAATTCAGGACCTTGAGTGGAGGCTCTCAGATGAATGAAGAAAGCACTGGAATGGGACTCTGAACCTCTGAGTTCTTGTCTGGGCTTTATGTCATTTTGGGGGATGGAACTTCCTTCTAGAGGAAATAGAGTTGGCTCAAGGCAGGAGTTCTTAGTCTGGGGTCTACAGACCTCTAGAGAATCTGGAGGGGCTTATAGGAAATCTGAAATTGTTGCATTCTGTAGGGAGAGAGACCACAGATTCTCATCTAGTCAAAAACCGCTAACCTGGGTAATCTCCTGTGTGTCTCCAATCTAGATCCTGGTGATGTGTGTTCTCTTCGCAAGGAAAGGAGGTGCTAGGGAGTGGCAGAGATAGAGGGCACTCGTCCACATGTCCACCACCATCCCAGGCCCATCTGAGATGGACTTTGTCAAGGGATCCCTGGCACTATCCCAAGGCTAACTCTGCAACTCCCAAAACTTTGGCTTCAAGAGCCAGAGAACAGAGGCAGGGTCTGGGCAGAGAAGACATATAAATAATGCTCTTAAAGGAGCAGGAGAGCAGGATCAGAAAGGAAAAAGAGTAGAGAGTGAAGCAGATGCAGACTAAGGGAGGTAAGGAGGAAAGGAACTTTATAGACAGAGACTCTCAAGATGCAGAAATCTGGCAAAGGCACAGGGAACACCACGAGTCCTGGTGATGGAGGCCTAGGCTGGAAGAAAAGGAGGAAGGAAGTGGGTACCTCCAAAGTGCTGAGTACTCTCCTGACCATAATAATCCTGCAAAGGAGGTTATATCAGCTGCAAGCAGAGAGATTAAATATGCTTTTAATGCTTATAAAAAGCATTATAAGCTTTTTAATGTCCCTCTGGCCCTCCTTTCTGCTCTGCACTGTCTGCCTAGGGGAGAAGTTCAGGCCATGTCCTAAATCAAGCAGCCTGCCTGGTAAGTATTCTGAAAAGTGCAGTGACAGAGGTGGACTAGCTGGCAAAGGAGGGAGGAGGCATAAATCATTTTGCTGCCTACCAGGGCTCCAGCCACGTGCCAGCCTTGGGCTAGGTCCTGAGGCTTGAGACAAGAATCCTCAGCACCTTAGCACCAAATATCCACCGCCAACCGCCAACTGCCCCCGCCCCCCCCCCCGCCCCCAACATGGCAACTATCCGGGATCTGAGTGGCCAGAACTGGCAAGGTGCAGGGCCGGTGCAGGGCTGGAACTGGCGACCTGGCTTGCGGCTGGGCTCTGAAGTCAATGGGGCAGGGTAGGGCTAGGTTCCCCACTCCCCTTCCCGTTTTACCAGGCGCAGGTCCCCGGGTCCGTGTACCACCAGGGAGAGGTTCTCGGACTTGGTCGCCGCCATGTCGCTCTTGCCTCCCGGGTTGAAGCTGCAGTCTGCAGGACGTGTGGAGGTTCTGGTGGCTGACGAGCCAAGGGTCCCGGATAAAGGGCTGAAGGCCGGGCTTGGGCCCAGCAGTTATAAACCGCGGCCAGGGGCGGGGCTTCTTGGCCCCTGACAGCTTGGGCGGGGCTTGCGGGGAGGGGCGGGGCTGTCCAGCTCTCTCACGTGAGAGAGAGAGGCCTAGGGGTTGATAAGGCCGTTGGAAGAGAAAAAGCCTGTTCTCGGCCTCGAGCCAATCAAACATTGCTGACTTGAAAGCTGCCGTCGCCTACACTTTGAGGAACAGGTGCCAAGAGAATGCAAAGTCCATGTTGGCCCTGTGTCCCCAGCATCCAGCAAAGTGCCTGGCACGAGTAGGAGTGAATGAACTAATTGGTGCACTAATGTAAAGAAGCTGTGAAATGAAATCTTTGGGTCTCTTTTTAAGTATTGATTGCTTTGAGAGAGAGAGAGGAAGGGAGAGAGAAGCATCGATTTGTTGTTCCACTTATGTATTCATTCCTCCGTTGCTTTCTTATAGGTGCTCTGGCTTGAGATGGAATCGCAGCCCGTATTCAGGACGTTACTCTAACTAACTGAGCTACCTAGCCAGGGCTGTGAACCTTCTTCTCTTAATCAACTCTGCTTCTTATGATAGAAGCAGGATTTCTGCCTAAATTCTTCCTTCATGCTTCTCTCCCCTCAGAAACAGTGAAGTTTTACTCTAACGGGAGAGAGCAATCCACTGGACAAGCCAAGTCCACAAAGGACCCTACTTCATTTGAGAACAGTGCTCACAATTTCATTCCATGTAGCCTCTTTTTCACTCTGCCAGATCCTTTTACCTCCTTCAGGAGAATTCCCTAGCCCTTGAAGATGACTCCATGTGGCACTTATTGCATGCCCCACATATGGGGCACAGCCTGTACTTTCAATCCCTTCCCCAATGCACTGAAAGCCCCACTGAAGGCAAGCATTTCTTAAATAGAACCTGGTAAAAATGTTCTGTACAGTGTAGAAGATCAAAAAATATTTGATCATGAATGTAGATCAAGTTCTAGAATCTCAATAATGACAAAAATGTGGGGGGGGGGGTAGTGTTATAAGGTGTGACAAGTCAAGAGCATGGATATTTACAGGGTGCTTACAGAGTCAGATCTGTACTTTGCTTTGAGAGACCTCCCACAAAGCTTGGCTGTGCTTGCCTGGCTCTTCCAGCAGCTCCTGCCTTTAGCTCCTAGGCAGGCCTTGCTGGGAGAGATGACTAAGTGAAGGTTTGCCTGCCTTCACTCATGTACCTGAATTTGAAACTCACCATTCAGAAGCATTTGAGAGCTTGCTTCTAGCACATGTCGTCAGTTTGCTCAAACGAACTCATAAAAATTCTCAATAAAACACAAAAACTCGCCTTTCTCTCCTTGCCTCGTGGGGTTTCCATACAGTTTCCCAAGCATGTCTTTTCAGCTGGTGAAGCTGAAGATGGAGAAAGCTCCAGGAATATCCCTCAGAGACCTGGTCTTTCCCCAGGATAATAAGCAACCCCGAGGCATCAGAATACAGTAGTCAGGACCTGACTAATGATGACAAGTCTGGGACCTCTGGCAGACCAAAGATAACATCCTGGCCTAAGTTATGTTTTAGCTCCTGAGTGCTAAGGTAGAACTATCCCCTGGTTACTTTCCCATGAGACCAGACCAAGGGACACCAGAACAGACCTCAGATCTGTAATCAAGACCTAAATAAATGAGTTATTACCCTTATCTCACCTTCATCAATCAGTTCCCAGCACAAATCTATAATCCATATTGTCTTGTGATTTTGCCCTATATAATCTGTAACATACACGCCATCAGGGAGTTTGGGCTTTTGAGCGTTAGTTACCCATTCTCCTGGGTGATGCCATTGTAATAAAATAGCCCATCTTTCTCCAGTGCAGTTTTCAGTGTTTAAGTGTTTGGCTCTGCTAGCATCAGGTGGGTAAACTTCTTCTATTCAATAGCAGAATTGCTTAACAGCGGAGGGCCACTTGAAGTAGACACTTTTTAAAAAATTTATTTTTAGAGGGTCAGGGGGTGGGAAAGCGAGGGAGAGAAACACTGATGGTTGCCTCTCACATGCCTCCAACTGGGGACCTGGCCCATTACCCAGGCATGTGCTCTGATTGGGAATCAAATCTGTGACCTTTTGGTCCAAAGGCCAGCACTCAATCCATTGAGCCACACCAGCCAGGGCATGAAGTACACACTTTTTGACTTTTAAATTAAGACTAGAGTACCAGAACCAAAGCAAAAGTCATTAAAATAATGACACAACAGCCACATTTGGACTAGTGTTTATTTTCTCCTGAGTAATAATACTTTGAAACTGTTTGGAAGGGACAAAGAGATTTGAAAAGGCAGGAGGCAAATTTAGAAATATATCCTATGACTAGGGTCCTTAATAGAGAAGCTAAAAGGGTGAGTTGGCAGGATTTTCAAGAAACTGACATTTTTAAGATAAAAAAGTAAGTTACTATTATAGTATTTAAACAACTTTTTGTGACATTTCTACATAATTTTCTAACAGAGACCAGCATTCACAGTGGTGAGGAAGAGACTTTTCTAAGCATTTTACTGAATAAGGGATAAAATGCTGGCATTGCCATTGCTGGTGGCCTGCTTGGCAAAGCTTCTCTGGGTCCCTGCCTGACTTTTTCAAATAGCACAGCACTTTGAGGCACACTCTCACCTCATGAAACTTCAACAAGTTGTTGATAAATTTCTGCTGTGAAAACTTATTTAGAATTCAGAAATTAATTTACAAGATGAATATCTTCTGGGGTCACATATCTAAAAGCAGGGAGCCATTAGCCTAGAGAACGTTTCATCACAGATGCTGGGTTACTTCAGGTCTGATTTACACAGAGTACTAATGAGAAAAATTAGAGTGCCAGAAGAACTCAGTGTTCCCAAGGTCAGAGCAATTGAAAAATCTTGATTTCCAGGTTTCTCCATTTGGTCATCAACTATTCAATTACCCAAACCTGGGTATTTACAATAACAACAACAAAAGAAATAAAAACAAACAAAAAACATGTGGTTTCTTGCAGACCTTAGAAATAAGGTTTTCAATGAGAGCTGAACTAGTAAAACCCTTATGCAATGGATGAGATTAGTGCACTGCCCTAAGGAATTAATAATATACCTACCACTAACAAATCTCATGAAAGGGTTAAAAAGGGTTAGGACAAGGGACTCAGAAAGCAGAAATTTTAGTCTAGAACTACCCAGGGAAGAGAGACCCAGGGTGGTAGTAGTAGCTGGGCTGCTACCAAAGAGACTAGAAGCAATGGCACCAGTTAAAGGTTATGCTACATATCAGCTAAGGATGGTGACCTGAACATAGACAAATGGTGGAAGTGAAAACACAGTAAAGCGGAAAGATCCAAGATTTATTCTGAAGATAGTTCCCATGGGACTTTGTAAGGGATTGGCTTATGGCAGTTGAGGAGAAGATAATAGAAATGTTGATTCCCAGATTTCTGACATGATGAGCTTAATGGATAAGATGCTATTATCTGATATAGGTAGCACTGAGGGAAGAGAAGTAATTTTGGAAAGGCCAAGTTTGAGATGCCTATCAGGTAGGTGAAACAACCCGAGGGAATGTTTGATATAAGAGTCTGGGAAAGTCTAGGCTTGAAAAGTCTAGATTTAGAAATCATTGGTATGTAGACTATATTTAAAGAAATAAGAGAGAACGAGATGATTTAGGGAGAGAGTGTAGAATGAAAAAAAAAAAAAAAAGACAGCCCAGGTCTTAGCTCTGAGATTCTAATATTGAGGGGCCAGGAAAAGGAAAGGGACCAGCAAAGGATGCTGAGAGTCAAGCGAAGCCATAATAAAAAAGTCAGCTTTTTAAAAAGAAGCAGCCAACTATTGATTACTGATGTGAGATAGGTTAATCAGTCAGGACAAGTGAAATAAGGAAACTAAGACAGATAGTTAAAGGGACAAGTAGTTTATACCCATTTAGTAAATCACAAAATTTTATCTTCCCAACCAAGGACACTTCAGAGTAAGTGGGTTACACTTCTACAGCAACCATAATATAAATGGCTTAAATCACTTTACTTGGGGAGATAGATAACAAAAATGAACTTAGCTCCATTTGTGCCAACCACACTCAAGGACAAGTGAAGTCATTGGACTAAATCTCATTTTGGAGTATCAGCATAAAGCTGATGAATATTCTATTGAGATTCTCTCCTAAAACCTGCCCTAAAATTCCTGCCTTTAGAAAACAAGTAAGAACCTTCATGACAAAGACCTAGCAAGAGCTCTCTCTCTGCAGCATGCCTTCCTTCCCTCTCCGCTGTGCATCTTTTCTCTACTAAACTTTTCTCTCCATGAGACTTGCAACCCGAGGATCAAAGGACAGTGGCAGCAGGTCTCAGACTTACCCCCGAATCTGTCTCCCAGCACTCATTCTCTCTGACTTTTTCGTAAGCTAACAGTTGCCCTGCCATGGCTCACTTCTTCCCTATAACGTTTCTGGGAAGCCAAAGCAGAGCACTGCCTAGGCTCTCTCCTGTTGCTTCTTCAACCCTAAGCCCTTCCTTTGTTTCAGTGTCTCCAGCTTTATTTTTTTCATTTATTTTTATTGTATTTTTCTGTTAACATTTATACTCCTCATACTCTCTTCCACCTCTACCCACCCTCTCCCCGCCACTGAAATCACCACACTGTTGACCATGTCCATAGTCCCCTTTTTTTTAACTCAAGCTCACCACCTTCTAAACTCTCCCAACCTAGAGTTGTTGGTCTGCTCTCTATCTATGAGTTGGTCTCTATTTTGCTAGTAAAGAACTTATAAAACTCAATACCCCCCCAAAAAAAACAATCCAATTTAAAAATGAGCAAAAAACCTGAATAGACACTTCTCAAAAAAAGACATGGCCAATAGACACATGAAAAGATAACATCACTAATCATCAGAGAAATGCAAATTAAAACCACAGTGAGATATCACCTCACACCTGTCAGAATGGTTATCACCAATAAATCAACAAACAGCAAGTGATGACAAGGATGTAGAGAATG